TGAATACACACTAGATATACACAGTAGAAATACGAGCAGTATGAACAGTATTAACAGTGTGTATGAATATGCTAAGATATATAAAGTATGAAAACGGTAAGCAGTGCAAGTATAGTATAAAATATATAGATATTAATTTCATGATGATAAACATTGTGGAACAATGATGAAAAATGTGAATGGAAGTGGCGACGTAAAACTGACACAAAACAACGAAACACTTTTGCGGAGCCAATTGGAGAGTTTCATCACCTGCACGTAAAGACCACCAATGAGCGCTCAGCTCGAGATACCAGCGAGTCGTTTCCCATCAAGCATTTCGCTTCTGCAGCTCGTGGAGAGAAACTGCTCCGCCTTGCTCTCAAGGCTGCCGGCGTCTTTGTCCCGCGAGATTTCAACGTCTCATGCAGTCGAGCCTCCAGAGCAAGTCGGACATAATTAATAACCATCATGCAACGCACTAGCAAGACGGCGGTCGCAATTGCGCAGGTCTGCGTCGGTCTCGCTCATCTCAAACGAGCCTATTGTCTGTCTGTCTGTCTGTCTGTCTGTCTGTCTGTCTGTCTGTCTGTCTGTCTATGTCTCTCTATATATTTAGCTAAAATGGTAATCCAACTTCACCAGCTATAACATAATGAGATTAGGCGCTTTCACACCAAGTACTTTTCCCAGGAATAGTTCCCGGAACTTAGTTATTTTATTTCCTGGAACTATCTAGTAAATCGCGTTCACACCGGAATAAGTCCCTGAGGGAGCCGCAGACGTCACTTCTTCTTCTTCTTCTTCTTCTTCTTCTTCTTCTTCTTCTTCTTCTTCTGCTTTGGATTTACTGGCAGGCCGCAAACAACTTCACGGCCTATACTGCCACCCGAAGTCCCCGGCGGGAAGTCCCCGGAGTTGGGGACTGGCTTCTACTGAAGCCTTCCGAGTAAATCGCCAGAAGCGCCGACACCTCCTCATCGCTCCACCGCTCCCATGTTTTCTTTTGTGTTGCCATAAGTTAGTCTCTCTCCGTTGGTGCGCTGGGCTAATGCTAATTCTAATAATGCTGATGCGAGCAAATAAAATGGCGGCTTCATAAAAACTTTTCAGAGTTTTACGGGGCGTGGTTTGCAATTCGCCCAGCCAATCAGAAATTGGAACCTTTTTCTCCCCAGGAAAGTCCCTGCTCTCTAGCAGGGACTAAAAATGGGTGAAAAGGTTAGCAAAAAAAAGTTCTAGTTCCAGATCTTTTTGGTATGAACACAAAATCCCAGGAACTATCGGAACTATTCCTGGGAAAAGTACTCCGGTGTGAAAGTGCCTCTTGTTGCTGGTAGACCAGCAAGACCAGCTTCACCAGCATAGACCACTGTGTACGTGTGTGTGTGTGTGTGTGTGTGTGTGTGTGTGTGTGTGTGTGTGTGTGTGTGTGTGTGTGTGTGTGTGTGTGTGTGTGTGTGTGTGTGTGTGTGTGTGTGTGTGTGTGTGTGTGTGTGTGTGTGTGTGTGTGTGTGTGTGTAGAGGTGTGTGTGTGTGTAGAGGTGTGTGTGGTTAAAACGAAGCAGCCTGCAGTCGCTCTTTAGCTGTTCTAATGAAGGTAAACACAGTGAAGGCGGTTCGTAAAAGGCACAGCTCCACTTCCTACTTGGTGAACCTTGTGCGCACGAGAAAGTATATCGTGATGAGCAAAACCGTGTCACTTGACCCAGGTGGTTTCCACAGAACGGACAAAACATGTTTAACGACCATAAACACACTCGTGCCGTCCATAGGTACCGGCGGTCTATCTGCCAAAACAAACTTAAGTTTGTCAATCACTTGCACGTCACTTCTGGTATGATGGACATTCCCTTTCCGGTTTGATTCTCTAGTTTGTTAAAGTGTTTCGGGAAATGTTAAAGTGTTTCGGGACTTGTGAATTTGTGTCAGTTTTCGTAAAAGTGTTTTAGCTAATGTAATTTTGTTTTATAAAATGTAATTTTGTTTTTATAAAATGTAATTTTGTTTTATAAAATGTAATTTAGTTTTTATAAAATGTAATTTTGTTTTATAAAATGTAATTTAGTTTTTATAAAATGTAAATGTGTCTCTAGCTTTGTAAAAGTGTTTCGCATCTTGTTAATTTATTTTTGTTAATGTTAAATAGTTTTTTCTTTGGTAAAGGTTTTATAAAATGTAAAATGTTTTTGGTTTTATAAAATGTAAATTTGTCTCAAGCTTTGTTAAAGTGTTTCACACTTTGTAATTCTCGTTTGCACTTCTCAGCCAACGTAATTTTCCTCTGTCTACCAGAATCCACAGTAAACACATGTTTTTCAAGGATTTTTTACTGTTGCTTTACGCTCTGTGAAAGTGGAACATATTCAAGTAAAATAGGAAATTAAAGATTAAAAAAATAAAGAAGAGGTGTCATTTTATATTGGATGTAAGATCAATCTGGAAGAAGAAAAGTGCACATCTGTAAAAAAAAGAAAAGAAAAGAGGAGCAGATCAGTATCAAACAGCAATGTTGACTGACATGCTCAGCTGGAGAAAGAGCAGCTGTGATGTCGCTGTCGGCCAGATGCTCGGATGATCTGATTAAGGACGTGCTCTCTATCACGTAGCTCCCACAGTTCACACACACACACGTTTATCCATCTCTAAGTGGCATGTTGTGGAAATGTTTGTTTGCATGCTGTTGAGGGAGATGAGAACCATACTAATAGAATGATACTGTACATATCACACTCTTTGTATAGGAGCAAGTATCATTAAATATTCAAAACTGCATACCCTAGAAATTTGCATTGCTTTACGTCCATTTTCTTTAACATGTGTTCAGGTTTTCTTTATAATAAAATATAAATAAACAATCTGTGTGCTTTTTTTTAACAGTCAATTGAGGGAGGCAAAAGCCCTGGATTCTTATCAATGGCATTTATTTAGGTGTATTTTTTTCCTTTAATGCCAATCCCACTTTAATATCTACGCATGGCAACTGTGGTTAAGGTTAGGGGAGGTTGTGGTTATGACAGAGCAAATATTATTCAAATGTGTTCAGGTTTAGGCATTAAATCCCTTGAATGTGGTTATGGATAGATTATCTTTACAGTTAATAAAAAGCACCAATGATTGGAGGTAAGGGTGGTTAATGCATTAAACCTTACCTTTAAACCCTGCTGTCTCCTTTGCGTAATGGGGCATGTCACTTCCTGCATCGCCACTGAATGCCAGCATTGTAGGGTGTGTTTGTTATGGATGTTATCCCTGGGGACTGCAGATGGAAGCAGAGATCTGACCTGGACATACCAAACCACAAGAGGACGTTTTGATGATATGAATCTCGTCATGCGACCCTCTGTCCCTTTTTGACTTATTAGGAAAACTCTGATTTATATTTCTCAGTATGACATGAGCAGCCTATATTTTTCAGTCCTCACCCACTGAAACGACTGCATAATCCGAGATCACTAGAGGGGCTCAAACTGCTGATGTGAAATGAGAGAAATAACATTAGTTAACATCTACCTACCACCTCCTGCCCCTCTTCCTGTATCCTCCAGGCACTCCGAACACAGTCAAATACAGGGACAGAGCTGTGATTGATCTAGCTGCAGGCGGACAAAGGGCCTCGGTTCAATAATGACAAATGTTCCCCTCAGCAATCCACACTTGATGTTGTCAGGCAGTCTGTCTATGAGACTCTCTAGTAGGAACACATGTAATCCCTCAAGTCTCGGGTTTATTGATTAAAAAAGACAGATACATTTCAACAAGGGCTGCAATCAATAAACACAGCAGTGCATGGATAATATATGATAATAATAATAATAATAATATAAGTCATAAATAATCATTCATAACTGAATGAGATCATAATTAATGAGTTTCACTGAGGAAGTCACGTTTTCGTGTCCCAATTTGACTGTGTGTTTGAGAAGGAGTACATTATCACATATGATGAGCAGGTAGTTTGCACGAAGAGTACAGTGTGAATTAACAACACAGAACATGTGAGATTGAAAATAGTCTATTAAATATGACTTTCATAGAACAAACTCAATCTCCTCTTGTATTACCTCTTTTATTATAACATCTGTCCACAGCATTTAGAGACACAGGTGGGTTTTTAACGGCCACTCCATGTCTTTCCAGTGTGTGATAAGCATTTATATAATTACAACAATTCACAGCTATTCTGACCGCAAGTGGATTCTGTAATGTTCAGCAATAATGTGTACAAAACCTGAAGGATCTGAACAAATATATAAAAGGACTTGTTTGACATTTAGCAGAGATATTGGCTTTCTTGCCAATAGTTAGATAAGATCAATAAGATTGATACCACTGTTATATCTGAATATGGTATCAATCTTCTTCTTATTTAAGTCTTGGTAACTTATGTCTAACTGTTCCTTTAAAACATATTGTACTTCTCTAAGCACGACCAACCTCAAAAGACATGCTGTGTTGTACAGCTTTTTACAACTATCCAACATTGTGATTTTGTTATTCATCCACTTTCTGCCCTCTTGTCCTTGTAAGATTTATTGAATAGGGCAAAGGCAAATAAATCCATCATACAAAAGAGGAACAACCATAAAGGGCACAGAGAAGATGATAAAAGAGGGAGAGACAGGCAGCACAACATGTTATAAAAGCCAAAAGCCTCTGGTAGGAAAAATGAGGCAGCAGCAGAGAGGAAATGTAGACATAAAGGAAAAAGGACACCAAAAATGTACTCTCTGGCCCGGTTCTACATTAACTTGGTGCTGTGGTGTTGTAGGCATACTGTAGCTATTTATATAATATGCTGTGAACTACACTGTGCATTAAGCAGCTCTTTGTATCTGCAGTATATAATGTCTCACCATACTGTAAACAGTGAAAACACTGCGAAATTCAAGCAAAAAAAAGGCTTACAATTAAAATGCACTACATAAAATCCCTTGGTATTATGTGGCGACACAGCTCCGCAGCTAGTGGGCGTCATTCTGACAAAAACTGACACGAACAGTAAACAGTAAGCTGGTGTTCTGGCATGGTGAAATAATAAGTCCCTATTTTTTTATGTTAGTCCAGGCAGTCAAGGCTCCAAGCACAGGCAATTAAAACGTTTTGTATAACACAGAGAGAACATCTCTTGAATCTCTATGGTCATGGTGAGTGGAGGAGGTTGTACATTCATTAGAAAGCAGAGATGTCAAGAGTCCGGTTGACAAATTACCTTGGCCCCAAATGCCCACCCAGCTGTAATGTGTTTTATGTGGACACTATGCTGGATATATTCTATAAGTGTCTTATTGTTGATCCCCCCCCCCCAATACAACAACATTGAATTCATCCTACTAAATATAGGCAATCTTTAGTCGAAGCCTGATATAGCTTCTTCCTCCATACCTCGGTCCTCCATTGTTGTTTGGAAACAGAATGAGTCACAGCGTATTGAATGGTGACATGTTCCTTCATTGTGATGAACATTGGCAATATTTTCAGTCCCACATACACTGTACTGCTGCCGAAAATAATCCCCAAATGTGTATTATTTTGAAGCCAGTATAGCCACCAAAATGCACTATTCACTGCTGTTAAAGTAACATTTGCTAAAAAACTAGCGCAGGTGTTTTAGGACATAACTGAGCCTATGTAAAAAATGAAATTGTGTTTGTGAGATGTTTTAGGACATTTTCATTTTCAGTAGGATACAAAGACCTTGGTGATGAGATGGACTCTTACATTGTTGAGCTTGAAGGTTAATTATTGGCTTTTGAAGTAGCAGTTTGATTATTATATATGTCAATTGAAACCTACCTGCTATTATGTGACCACAACTTCATACTTATCTCAATGACAACCAAACTACTCTTTCAGCTACTGAAGGCCGCAAGATTAATTTGTTTGAGTCTTTTCATTGGATTTGGTGACAATAAAAAAAGAAATACAGCACAGTACCAGCTTTGTCCTTCAAGGATTATACACAGACGAATAATATTCACATATTGTGTGATAAATGACGTATAAAATAGATTGCAATAAATCACTTACAATGATCCAATGTAGATAAACTGTAAGAAGAAATTACTGAGACGTTTCCTTTTTCACAACTTTTGTGCCTCTGAACATAATTTAATAACATGTTTTTCTCCTACTCACTGGATCATACGTTATGTTGTGAGATGATAGGAAACTGTGTAACTATTCTGCTTATGATAAATATTGTAAGAGCTGTGTGAAGAATCTGAGCTCTTCAGCGGAAACATGAAGATATTGCAGAACGAGAGAGAACGCAAGAGAGTTTGACCCACACACACACACACACACACACACACACACACACACACACACACACACACACACACACACACACACACACACACTCTCTTTTTATATATTTTGGATAACTTAATAACATGTTTTTCTCATTCCACTATTGAACAGTATGATACTTGATGCTTGTACACCTCACATTCATACTGATAAAGCATAATAAAATTGAATGTGAGAGTGAGTAGAGAGTAGTGAGTCATATGCCGATGTTACATAATCAGTCTGGGGAAGAAGTCAAGTGATGACCGCAGGTACGACCTTGTGACGCACCCAGGACATAAGGGGGGATTGAGTGAATACATTCAAATTTAACTTAAGCATTTAGAATCAGAATAATAATCAGCTAAATCAGTTTTCCAGACTCCTGTTGCCTCAGGTCCCTGATTGAAATCAATGCTATTTATTTTCTGTGACGTAGTAGCAGGAATGTGTCTCGTACTCTCTGTTCACACAATGAATCATTGATGGCTAGAGACGTTACTGAGAAGTGGTTATTATTGCAGAGGGCTTTCGGTATGTGTGTGTGTCTCAGACAGTTAGTGAGTGTAGTCCCCCGTCTCCTCCTGAGAAAGAAAGAGAAAGTTCCAGTGATGTGACCGAGGAGCCAAGACGGCTGTCACAAATCCCGTTGAGTGGGTGCTTGTCCGTTTCAATGTACATCTTTTTATTCACAAACTGAAGGGTGATGATGGATGGCGTATGTACACTTTCACTGTTCATCTCGGTGTCGCTGTGCACCCCATGACCCCATGAAGCAGCGTCCTCAGATACCGGGAAAGCTGTCCACATATTCGCTTAATGACAGTGTTAAAGCCTGAACACTCAGTGCGTGAGGAGTCTGAGCAGGAGCACTTACATGCTCTCTGCTTGTAAGGTAAGTGTTTCTCTGGGAGGATGAAAATGCACGATCCTGTCGAGACAAAGAAGAGTAATTTGCTTTGATGTGAGTCTTTGTACCAGCTTCAATTTATGAGACAGAAGTCAAGAGAGCAAGTGGTGTTAAAAGCTGGAAACACAGTCTTGTTTCTTTTGAACACCTATGTTTGTTCCCTTTGGGATCTGCAATTCACAAATGTGCAATGGTGGAAAGTAAGTCAATTTACTCAAGTATTGTAATTTTCTTGACATATTTGTACTTTACTTGAGTATTTCCATTTAATGCTACTTTATACTTCTACATTTCAGAGGCAAATATTGTACTTTTTATTCCATTATATGTATTTTAACACTCAGAGTCACTAGTTACTTTGAACATATAAAGACATGAAAGGCTAACATGGTATAATAAAGTACGGTACTACTAATCTACAGTATTTCAAGTATAAATATTAAAATGCTCCTACATGTTTGAAAACAGGATAACATAATAGCCATAATAATATAATACTGTGAAAAGATCCATTCTTCCATCACTGCAACGGTGGGAGTGAGACTTAATCAGTGATATTTATCGGACAATTGTTTGACAAGTTTCTTGTTCTTGTAATTCTGTCTCATTGTCAAAACTGTGCTCAAAAAAACCCCACGCACTCCACAGCAGCTTGAACTGGGAGACCTCAGTGAACAAAGAGCACGGACTTGCTGTGCCTGAGGACACGAAAAAACGAATCAATTCATTATCATGTTTAACCTCGATGAGCACAAGGACAAACATGAGAGGACCAAAACATAGAATGAACAGGGAGAGCCTTCAGGCCTGCAAAATATATCAGCAAGGTTCCAGGTGTTTTTATAAAACTGATAACCTTACAAAACATAATGCTAGTTTTTATATTGGTTCATAGCTCCAGACTGAGAGAACGAATAATGCTTTTGTAAGCAGTAACATGCAAAGGAATAGCAAGGCACACATGAAGGCACATACTAACCCTAACCCTAAGCTAAAATAGGTGGAATAAAATAATTGATAAAAAAAGATGGACTTTTATTAATCCCTCGTGGGGAAATTGTTTCTCTGCATTTGACCCATCCTAGTGTTAGGAGCAGTGTGCTGCCATTTTGAACGGCGCACGGGGAAAACTACTTTGTCATGGTCAAAATACAGGTTGTGAACTATATTCATCTTCACACCTTTCAGTATCTGAACTGTATAAGTAAAGGGAAAGCTTCTCATTGGGATTCAGTCAGAATAAAGGTCAAATATTCCAAAAATAGTTTAGGCAGAGAGGCCTGTGGTTTCATCGGGAGGGGGCTCACTACAGGGATTATTTCTCTCTACGCTCTGAGCTGCTTCACTACAAGATGCTCATTAATTTTCATGAATATAAAGAGAATAGTACATTGCTATGGCTGTTTACCTTTTCATGGGGTCTTTGACTGGCTGGCGGCCACATCGGCCATTTCTGCTGGTATACCTACGTAAACGCCACCATAGTTCCTGAGAACAGAGGAGAAGAATGTAGCATTTAAAAGACAAAGGGATTGAGTTAGTGGTGGTTCTAAATTCAATACAGTTTCTCCTTTTAGCAATGCATTAGCTCTTTGAAGCTTTCTAACTGTTCTTGGAGGAAACCACACCTGTTTAAAAACAATCACATTACGCTTTCCGTGATGTTGTCAGGCATTGATGAAGAGTGCATGGATTTTGTTTGTCTGATTTTTTCCTCTTGATATAAAAAGTGACATTGATGATGATTAAAAATAGGAGTTGTAATCGTATTCTCACTGTACAAATGTATTTATATGGTTAAAATGCACCCAACCGCAACCTCAAAAGCCTGAAAGAGGAGTAAGACATTTGGAGGAAATTTTGAATTTTGATCAAATTAGCACAATACCTTCTTTTCTCATCGTCTACCGGGAGATCTTCTGTCCTGATTGAGAGAAGAAGCACAGGTCAGGTCAGCTCTTTTGGGGGCACAGATTACATAAAAGCAAGCAAACACACACACACACACACACACACACACACACACACACACACACACACACACACACACACACACACACACACACACACACAAGCATTGAGAACTGAGCTGAGAGAGTGCATTGGCTCAGTTGCAGAATATTGGATGTATTTTTTGGGGGGGAATTCTGCTTATTCTCATCTGACAGTTCAGCACAACTGAATTGACAACTTTAGTTTCATCCAACTTCCAAGAACCTCCCCAGCTTGAGAAAATACTTAATATAAAAAAAGATAATCAATTTGCGGATGTATTATTATCACCTGTTCACATACAGGTCAAGGGTGTGTCTTTGTGTCTCTGTGTTTGTGTGTGTGTGAGTAATATAACAAAGTACAGTCCTAGGAAGCTGTGATTAGCTTCAGTGAGTCAGTGTTGTGCTGCTGTCAGCTCTCATGGGTCCTGTGCTGGCTGCTCAGATGGTTATCAAGGAGTGCACACACACACACACACACACACACACACACACACACACACACACACACACACACACATACACATACACATACACATACACACACAACCAAACAAACACACACACAGATTCCAGGAAATGCTTTGGACATGCTGCCCCTCCCAAAGCTTTGATAAATGATAACTTTTTAAGGACAAACTGTATGACCATGAAACCCAGCGGGGACCTGGTTGTATGGTTGAGTATCTTTGCTTTTCTCTTATTGACAAGTGAGGTCTTTGTTTTTCGGTCAACTATGTATGACTACAAGCTTTCATTCGGCTCGTAAACAGTATCCAAACAACTAACACTCTCACAGAAACAAAAAATATATTTTCCAAGTCGGATTTTAGACACCTTGTTCTAGACACCGTGTTCACCTTGGATGATATAGTTATTTTCTTCATGCATTCTTCAAGTAATGCTTTGAAGAGCTGAAATAATACATTAATATAATACATTTGACTAATATGACTAATGTACTTACACATCTTTTGACACGTCTGCTGGCCCTGAAAACAGATGAAAAGACCAATCAATTTTATGAGAATTATCTAAGGATGTATGTGATCATACTAATAAATGCCTTCATTCAACAACCATAGGATGTGAATCATAGACTTTTATGAATAAACAAAGACATATTAAGAGTGGTAATTTTATAATACATCACATTTCAAAAGAAAACTTATCTAACAGCAGTCTTGTGAGGTGTTGAGTTATCGTAAAGCAAATCAGAATGACCTTAAATACATTTAAAAAGCCTACATTTCTGTTCAGGTTTCTATTAATACGAGAGTACATGTCAAGGTGTTTGCAGATCGCACTTGAAGTTTGCAGTATACAAAATAGAGTCACATATCATATCACTTTGATCCACACAGTCATCAAACCTTTTAGTTTGTTTCCAGTATAATTACACATAACCAAAGCACAAACATAAATGTTTTAATGATTTTTGTGGTTTTCAGTATACAGAAACACTTTCAACAAACATTTCACAACTTGTCTCTGAGGACATGTTATAAATGGATAAAAGGCATGCAGTTTGAATGCCTCTAATTCCAAATTACAACAGCTCATCCCAATGCTGTTTGACACGTCCAACAACAGCTCATTCTTTGCTGAAACATATGCAGTCCACTAAGCAGGATTTGAATCAAAATGAGATCACAGTGCATTCAGTAGGAGGATAATCATCCTGCCTGTACAGTATCACAATGACAACAGCGGAGGAACAACCCCCTCAATAATACCCTTTATTGGGTTTTTAATGCCATTTTGTTTTAATGTAGACATGTACCTTCAAAAAGAACACTCCACGTGTAAGATGTCAGGGCGGAAAGAGTGGAACATTTAAATTACTCAGACAGTCAGTAAATGTCATCCTTGTTAAAGGAAAGGAGGGCTTTTTCACAGTAAATGTTTAAGTCAGCTGACATGACACAGGGCCTATTCAGTAGCCTGACAAAAGCTCATTCATACCCACATCTGGGTGCATAAGACTAGGGATGAGCAATGTGATATAGAGGCGGCCATTTGAGCTTGGTAAGTTTTGAATTGAAACATTCTAGTATGACTTGAAAGCTTGGAAGCTTACAACTTAGAATAATCATATTTGACTTTAACCTTACTATTTAGGATTTAAAAGGCTTTTTTATTTGAGTGTTCTCATTTTCACGTATTAACATTGTATTAATGAGTGAGAGAAAGAGTGTTGTGACATGCAACAAAGGTTTAAAAAGTGGAAGCAAACACGGGATATTGCGGTTAAATGGCATATGGTGCAACCACTCGGCTAAAAACACGCTCAAGGGAATTCTTCACCTTTTTAACATTTACTGTCTAAGCAATATTAAATCAGAAAAACTGGGTAATAACACCTTACATTCTAGTCTTACATAGATATAATGATTTTTAAATGCTTTCAAATGTACAGTAATTGTTAACGATTATAACATGTCCGATTAAGTCATGTATTATTTAATATAAATACAAAATGTTATTTATATTGTTATCCAATATTATTCACACATACTGTAGGAAGACTTTTAGCTTTTAAAAAAATGCCTCAATTTTGCCTCATCTACATCATAATTAGTGTTAAAGGTTTAGTTACTTTTAGAGACAAATGTGAGGTTAATAGCAATGAAACACTTAAAGGTGGGGTAGGTAATTTGAGAAACCAGCTTGAGTGCGCTAGAATGTGAAAATACACAGCCGGAAAAAATCTGCCACTTCCTTAAAGAGCCCCTCCTCCAACACACACGAACGCAAACATGACCAATGAGGGCACGAGATAAGTTTGTGCACAGATGGAAGGCTGACAGGCAGGTAGGCCATCCAGTTATTTTAGCCGGGCCGGCTAAAATGATTGGTCGTGCTTTTTACAGCGCCACGGCTTCCACAGATGACATTTTTTTATGTATTTATTGTCAAAGCATTTAATATATTCATTGCTATCGGGATGTTAAGAGCATTCCATGGAATATAACAAAAAGTGTTTCTGAAATAAATTACATACCCCACCTTTAAACATAAAACATAGATGAGTTGTGACATTTTCCTTTTATTGAATATTGTATCTTAACTACAGAAAATAACAGTGTGGGGAAACAATGTCCTTTGATTCTGGCCTGATGTCAACTGGCATTGACATATAAGTGCAACCATAAGTCAAAGTGACAGGATGTCACACGTTCTTGACATTGTGTCGACCGCTGACCCCTAAGAAGAAACGGAAAAAGACCAGCTGTACACAACTGACCACAGCTGGTGGATTCATGGACAAACAAGCCACACACACAACAAACTCAGACACCTTCTCGGGTGTTGTTTACAGAAATTGTAACCTGAAAGTAGATGTATGTAAAGGAAAAAAACAACAACCCTGGATCACATTTCCCAGTAGCTGGCTGTGGCTCTGCTAACGTGCCTGGCAAGCACTAATTACGTACCTGCAAGCAAACACACCCATTACACCAGCATGAACAGACACCCTACTGCTTTTAATGGCCTTTGGTGGTGAGGTAATCCTGCAGATACTTAAATCTAATTTTTGCCCCAATTTGACCATGGTCCCTAGAGATTTGTACAGTATAATTTAAAACAGGTATTGTATTAGGATGAATCAACAGAGAGAGATGTGTGTTATTCGAGGACAAGTCATCCAGGCTTTATAAAAGAAACCTGCTCAATGGTCAAAGGCACTAAAGCTGCTTGTCTTTCATACTGTAAATCCATGGAAACAAGGACAAACATACCAGAGAAAGAAACACGATAAAAAAAAATAAGTGAGAAAAACATATTAAAACCTGTTAGCTATGGAGGACATCCTTTGTGTGAATATAGACGTTAACATTATAATAACAGTATAGGGTCATAACCAATATCAAAGCAGGACATTCCTGAGGCTACTTCTCTGTTGTTCTGTCAATGGCTTTTTAAAAATACATATTTGTCATGATGAGACACACACATACATGATGATGCAAAGGTTGTCGATTTTTTATGAATGAAATCAAGGCATTGAGAGCCACACACAGACATGGGCATCTCAAGACAAGGGTAACCCCCACACACTTCATTTACATTCACAACACTCTCTCTCCTTGGTGCAGATACAGTGACAACTCTCCCTCACACTCTCCCTCGTTTTCATACAAACACACATATTCCCTAAAAACACTCACCCCCTCCTGCCGTGTTGGTGCCTGAGGAATTGCCACAACCCATTTTGCATCGATGCCACGGTCCAACAATGCGTAGACGCTTAAGAAGAAGAAGAAGAACGAAAGAAGGGAACCCCAAAACACATTGGGGAGAGGGGGGAGAAAGTGAAAGAAGGTCAGAGAAATGTCTCCCACTGACTGTAACACAGGGATCTCCTATGGTCGTATCCCCTTCCTCTCTTTTCAGTCTTGTGCCTATCCTCTCTGCAAACCAATGGAGAGCTGAGAGTGAAGTGAAAGCATGGAGAGAGAGCCTTTTATACACACACACATACAGTATACACACACACTAGAAGAGAGGATGAGAGAGAGGGGAGAGAGGGGAGAGAAAGATGCTATGCCCTCACATGATTTGCTATTTTCCTCCACCCTGACAAGGTTGCCCGGGAAACCGGGGGAAAGTAGGCGGAGGGTGGGGAGACACTCAACCAATAGCAAGCTTCCTTTTTTTGATATAAAGGTATAGGGGGAAATGAAATACATTTAAGGGACATTAATATTTTTGGCCTGTGTTTGTTTGTTTGTGTTTGTGTGTATGTGTGTGTGGGACATCTTGCAAAATCCTACATACCTTCAAAACATATAGGATCTTTATTCATGCTTTTCACAAACACAGAAACAACGGCTCACTTTTTTGAGCAATTATAGATAGCAAGGAGCTGAAAAACCCTCTGTCTGTAATTTAACCACGAGGGTCAGTTAAAAAGACCCCAACCAATATAAACTCAATCTCTTCTTCAATCGAGCCATTGTTTGCTCTTACAGGAAGAGGGGGGTCATATGAATGGAGTTTAGACGACAGGATGCATTGCATTATCACAACGCTGCAGGGGAAACAATTCTCACACTCAGTCAGTGGTCTTATGATGTTAGGTGTGGCTGAGTCAAGATGTTTACATTGAAAAAAACATGCTTTTTCTCTTTCAAAGCCTTCAAACAAAAAAAAATCTGAGTTACCATGTAAACCCTATTAAATTGTTCTCTCATAAAAGTCTGCGCAACAGTAGACATAGCAACAGGAAAAGCATTTTCTAAAGGAAAGTAATTTTTTTCACAGTATCAGATTAGACAATGTTTAACCTACCTTAAGGGACACTTATTAACTTTCTGGCAGAGAGTTGAATGAGTAGATTAATAAACCTAACGCAACAGTAGCAGTCAGTTAGCTTAGTTTAGCACAAAGACTGGAAACAGGGGGATACAGACCCAATAAAGCCCTGCCCACCAGCTCCTCTAAATCACACATTATCTGTCACCTTATGTTTAATTTGTACAGAAAACAAAACCTAAATCTTACTATTTTACCAGAGGTTATGTGCAAGGCACAATGAGCAGAATGTAAACAACTGTAAAAAATAAATGTTGGCATATTTCAAGTGGATGGATAAGCACAGAAGTTACCCCATAAGATGAATCCTACAAACTTTGATGACTTTACTATGAGTTTCACATTCAGTCTTTAACGACAACAGGTTTCTACTTTTCTACATAGAGTAGCCTAAGTGTAGGCCTACAGTAATTGACTTACATAATGTTCAGTACTGTCCCACACATAGACTGTATATGGGTCCAGTCACAAGATGTTCACCCTAACAATTCTTTGAAAGTGTGTTTCCCTGGTCAGCTGAATCCCTGTTTTGTTTCAGAGTTAGTTCCACTGATGTTAAGCATATCTTTTTATAGGCCAGACTTAGCCGAGCCAGCACACAATTAATTATAAGTCAGTACTGACAGGGCTTATCTAAATTAGAGCCAGAACTTACCCAATTAAAAAACACAAGCCCATTGGGGAGGAAAGAATGTTCTCCTGCTCAGGCTGCCTAGGAGCTTGATGATGAGGGACAATGCTTGTCACGGCTTGCCTATTATTGAGACACATAACAACAAGACATGACAATCCTAAAAAGTCAAATAAACCTAAAATGTCTTGGATCAAGTCAAATAAATTAGACAACTGCAAAGTTATGTCCCTGACAACAGGCTATTGTTGTTCTCATAATAGACCAGATAACATTGGAAACCAATGAAGTTATATAGTTCAGTTCTGAGATTTTTTCATTTAATTTGATTCAATTCTCATAATCAGTAGAACACATAACCACATTTGTATTGGAGTAGCGACTATGATATGATCAGCTTTGCTCGTCCAAGTTATGTAACAAATAGCTAAAGGTAAACCATTTTTTGGGGGAAAAATATATGTGGCAACCTCAACTTTTCTACTAAAGTGCCGGTTAAAAATGTTGGGCAAAAATATAATTGTAACAACATACTTACCCATATTCATAGTATTCATTCCCCATACACGTATTACTTGTGTGTCAACAAACAATATGAATTATTCTTTACACCAAAACGTATTGATACCATTTAATATCAATGAAAAGTCAATAGAAAATAAATCACGTAAAAGTCAGTGCTATGAACTGGATGTGAACTAAAATCCAGCCTTAACAGCCAAATCACTAAAACAGCATGCTTTATGCAACCATTTAAGAAGCTGTTGACTGTATATTAATACAACAAATACTAAATACACTGTAATTTAATTATTAAACAGGAGAACATGCCATCTCATACTGAAATGTTATGAATCATATATTTAAATCCATGCCTAACATCAGTTTTTTTCTTGTCGAGTTAAGGTTTTTGGAAGCATTGGAGGTGAGTGTAATGTAACCATGGGTTCTTACAGGGCGCTCTTTATGGTGGCAGGTACGAATTAGATGAAATGACATGAACGTAAAAGAGGAGGCATGACATTTAAAAACACAGTCTGTCAGAATATCTGACATTTCGAGAGGAAACTGCTTATTTTATCATCCAGCAAGGGATCAGTCAAGGAAGGGATTTTTCCCCCGGATGTGAGCAGCCTCTGCAGGAAGGGTGACGTAATTAGAGAGCCAGTAGCTTTCAGTTTATTCAGTACATTACGTGCTCTGCCTTCAATAGACAAATCAAGACAAGAGGTTTTTGATAAATCCATTGCTCATTGTTAAAATAACAACGTTATTATTCAACCTTTTGTTAAGAAAAGTTATCAAGACACATAATAATCTACACAATAGGCTTGTCTTTTGAAAGAGTCTCATTCTCAAGTGACAATATGTCATTTTTCTATCATTAAAGATTTGATTCAATTAATTTGCAGACACATCTCACTTAATTTAATTGCACTATACAGTACTCGAGAATACCCATTTGATATACTTAATGCTTGTATTAGTCAACATTTGAAAATGATTTTTATATGTGTGCTCGTACTGTATAATTTACTCTAAACTTTTCAACTGTATATTAAAATATATTATTAGTATTAAAAATACAACAATATAATATATAAAAAATATAAAGAAAGGGGCCAGTCTGCAATTTTACTTTTGATACTATAAGTACATTTTACTGCTGATATTTCTTTATATTCAATTTACATTTTGACTTGCAATGGAGTGTTTAGATTGGAAATGTAATAGCAGAGTATTATTTTATAGTTAACACATCAGTAAAGATATGTAGTTTCACACCACTGTAGGAATAGAGAGGTCCCACTCTTTGGAACCTTTGGTCAACCATTAACTTAAGATATATTTTACCTTGAAATAGTATTGTATAGTTGTGATGTGATGTTGTGCATTCAGTCATTTTGTAGAGTTTTTTCAAGGCAGTATTAAATATTGCAATTCTTCAAATGTCCACAAGAGGTCCCTGTTGACACTGAAATTGTAAAAACGTTAACCTACACCTACGTTACTTATATTTTACGTAAACAACTACTACGAAGCTCTGCTATAAAACAGATCACATGGTAAGAAAATAAGTAAGTTAATTATAAAACAATACAAGCATACACTTTAAAGAAAGTTCACTGTTTTTAACTACTTCTCACTAGTTGCTCTCAACGGCTGTGTGGATGAGATCAGACTAGGCCCGCCTCCAACTCCTACGTGTTCCACTCCCCCGCGCAGTGCTCTCTGGGAAACTGAGTCCACTCTAAATAATTCAAGCTCCTGTACCTTTTCTTCCACCGCTAACAAGATGCCGGCCGTACATCACAAACTGCTCCTGGAGGACGCTTTGCAAGACAGTCCTCAGGTAGGCCTGTGTGGGTATTATCACGTTTAAAGACACGACTGTCACACGACAAGACGTAACGAGCAATGAAGCTAGCTTTCTAGCCCAAACAATATCATGTTTCTGGCGTAGCCTCTTTCCACTGGTCGATGACAGCTCCTAATTGACACTTTGTTGTTGAAATGTAATCCTCTCACAGTCGCCTTCCTGCTCCAAACAAAGTTCTAGTTTATACTGCTAATCTATATGATCGGTGTGTATGTGTCTTTGTTGTGTTTACAAAGCTACCGCTCGTCCCAATGCTCTTCTCTATGATATGCTGCTGTGCATTTAGACACCTCAATATGTTAGATGTATGGGCCATAGCTTAACCAGAATCCCTCTACTGCAATACTTTTATTTTTCCCATGTCGTATGAGGTTGGATTTTGGGGCTAGACCCTGTAGTGGAGCCGAACTGGGCCTGATTTACAGGATGTGGGAGGGGTTTCCATTATCGGACTGCACTAGAATAGTCAATAGTCTGCAACAGGGCAGCAGTGGTGGCTCTCAGTGGTAAATAGCATATGTTGTTTGAAGCCCAAAAGTCTAGGGTGCAATTTCAAAGTTGCAATCCATTAAATCCAGAACAGTCCTTGCTTTAATGCACATCTAATGTAGCCCGTATTAAATGCTGTCTGTTGCATCATTCAGAGTGCTACCCTGTTTGATGCTTAAGTGCAACCCATGCTGAAGGGTTATTTCCTTCTTCACGTTTTTCAACTCCTACAAGAAATAGGCCTGGTGTCATTGCTACATTAAATGTAAACACAGCCAAAGTTGTCAATGTTCCAGGTAATCTCTTGTTGGTGTGAAATGGTTCTCTATCTTTCTGTGGCAAAAGTCAGCTGGAGTAAACTGTAAACAGACTTTAGCCATGGGTGTGTTTCCTCTCAGCTGTATCTGCCCTGCCTTGCTGCACCTGTTTGGAAATAAAACTACACCCAGACAGGATTTTCTCAGTTTGCATAAATTAAATGATGTTTAGTTTGACTTGGAAGCTTCACTCTCATAAGCCTCTGCATACTGCAGCTATTTCCCTCAGCCCTCTTTCCACCACCAGAAATATTTTATACATCTATTGTTTGTGTTTCCACCAAACCTCCAGTTGTGTTTTTTAATTAAGGTACTTAATTACTACTTGTTAAGTACACTGCGAAAATA